GAGCTCCAGCTTTCTTAACATTTCAGTACCCCCCCCCTTTGGAATTACAATTTTCCTTAAAAACCAAGAAGTACTGGAGTTTAACTCCGGCTAAATATAAGCCCTGTATATACAGAAAGAGACAGAGAGACAAACTGATAGAACTGGAAGAATTTAAAAGAGGGATAAGAAAGAAAAAAAAAAAACTTACGAGGCTGCAATTATGGCACCACCAACCATTGCAAATACAGTGAGGACAACTGGTAAGCTTTGCCTTGTTCTGCAATAAATTGAGTACTGAGAAAAACATGCCAAATTAAAACATCACTCATTAATAAATTTAGAAACACCAAAACTTTTTAATACTATAAATCTTTATTGATTCTTTTATGCTATAAAATTTTGCTTAATTAAAACAATTAAATTTTATAATTTAATCTACGAATCCAAAATTAAACATATTTAAACCTATTTTAAAACAATTTTGTTGATTTCTTAAGGCCAGTTTACATGTGGAGACAAAGTTGCTTGCCAACATAGTGACATGTTGCCTGACAGCATTTTGTCAACACAGGGAGTTCTGTATTCAATAGCAGACCTCCATCAGTCTCTCAGCAAACCTAATAATTTACAAAGATTTAACACCTTAAATTTTCAAGGCTTACTTTTAAAATAAATTGTAATAATAAACAGGATGCTAATTAACATATAGAAAGTAACAGTGACTAAAAATGTTAAAGCCCAAACATGAAAAATAAATAAAAATCAACAATTTAAAAAAAAAAAAATTAATGAAGATGGAAAGCAATTAATTTTGAAATGTAATGCATACACAAACACATATACAACCAGCTAGATAGATAGATATAAAAGTACCTCCTGTATGGGACACCTCTTATTTAACCACTTGCACTAAAAAGACGTGCCACACACATCGAGATACTTTTGTCTCAAACCGCGAGTGACGTGAACAGCACGTCGATAGGCATTTATCGCAAAATTAAAATAACGTGGTGCACACATCCCCTAATAACGAGATTGTTTAGTTCTCGAGTTACAGCTCTGGATTGCACTCGCAGACGCAGAGCAGCATAAATGAGACACTTTACTGCTTGTTATATTGTAGCACATGGCACCGCAACCATGAAGTTTAGTCATAGCGCAAGTGGTTAAGAAACAATTAAATTGGTCCTTGTCCCTTTGAATGGAGACCTATGTATTTACCTCTTATTAAGTGGCACTCTGTTTAACGGACGTTGAAAAAAAGTTTCAAAAATCAAATTGAGATAGAGAAATAAACAGAAATGCTTTTTGGTAATAATCTTTTGAGGTTCCAAAACGCAACTTTGTTTTCAGTGAAAGATAGTTTTGAGACAAAGAATAATAAAATGAGAACTTAATCCGTCTCTTTTGATAACTCCTTTTCAGTAAGGAAAAGAGGGACAATACATAGAGAAAAGGAAGTTGTGGTGCAATCAAAAAGATATTTCACATTCATACAATTCAAAATCCACTCATTCTTGCTACAGATCTCAGTAGGGAGAATACAGTATTAGCAGGCTATAAGGCAATCCAAGACAGAGACCAATGGGTAAGAAAAAATGGTGAAATGAATGGACCACCTGCCAAGACACAAGGATTTCACAATGTGGATAGAGTGAAAACTTTTATTATTTTTAGTCCTTGCTAGGACTGGGGGAGGGCAAAAGAAGTATAGTTTTGTACTTGTGTGCTTACTTACATACATTATCTAGCATGGCTTCAGAAAAGAAAAGATTAACATTAAAACAAAAAGCTGATGTAATTCATGTAGCAGAAATTGTAAGCTTAGTTTGAGATATTTAGGGCAGTTTGAGTTTAGTTCGGAGTAAGTAAAAACCAAGTAAGTCAAACTAAAACACAGAGAAATAAACAAATATTATGATACTATTTCAAATGAACATTCCAAGAATGTAAAATTTAGAAAAACTGAAGCATGTGCTATTGATACAGTAGTGTTCAATTGATTTTGTTCTGTAAGAGAAAACAACACAATATTTTCCTGTACGTGGAGTATTATTGTAAAAAAAGGCAAAAGTTTTGAAAAGTCTGGGACTACAGAATGCATCTAATGGTTGTTCAGATAAATTTGAACAAAGACCGACAAAGACTGAAATTTGAGAAAGATTTTTAAGATTATTTGTGGTGAAGAAAGATCAGTAGATATGCAACATGTAAGAGACCAGGTAAAAAAACTACATGAAATTTGTGAAGGATATAATGCTAAAAACATCTACAGTGCAAAATGAAACTGAATTATTTTATTGAATTTAAAATCATATTATAACTCAAATGCACAAAACTTATCATTGAAGAATATCTATAGTTACCACAGTCTATTCAATCGAAATAAAGCTAGAATGATGTACAAAGAATAAGCATACAAAACAAAAGAAACAGTTTACACCGAAAAATTTAGATTTCTCAGTCAATTATTCAGCTCTCACGCGCCAAGGCAAAAATACTAACACTCAAAATATCTGTATTAAAAATTATGAATAATCTTACACACTTATCCCGAAAAAATTCCAGAAAGGATACCATGATATTCGCAATATAAATGAGACGTTATCTTTTGTTGCGAAGCTTGTCTCTCTAGATTGCAACAAATCATTTTCTCCTGTTTCAAATGTAAACAAATAGTCCGCCATGTTATTTAAAACTTACCCGCATTAAACATCTTTAAATGTTGATCAATTGTACAATATGGCTCCAGATTACAAGGCTAAAACCTTAGCCAGAGATAAACACATATTCATCATCTTAAAGCAACAAAGCACATTGACAACATAAAATAAAGAAACTGAGCTCACTGAGTCGAGTAAAGTGGATAAATAATCTATTTTATACCTTTTGTGAGTCGATCACAACCAAAAAGAGAGGTTCACATCTACATGTTATAGCAGTCCCACATACAAAATTTCAACATTCTGAGGCTATTCATTTTACAGTTATGCGAAATACATACATACAGATGACACGAAAAAAATATCTTCTGAATCCATTTTAAATCAGTTTTATAAATCGTTTTGGGGAAAAGAGTCCTTCATTCTGTCCTTATGTACAAATGCCATGCAAAAACATCATTAAATTGCATTATATAGTGATCAAATGGATGTTTTCGTTGAAATAGGGTACCCATAATTTTTCGTGATTAATGTTGACACAAACAGCACACAGCACACAAACAGCTATTCCTGTACAACATGGCAGTTCTAAAAAAAATTTTCAGTTCTATACATATCCTACACATATAATTTAGTAATTTCATCAAAGAAGATAATACTGCTCTGTAACCATCTTGTCAGGGTAATCTGATATTGATACACTATACCAGGTTAATCAAAAGAAGGCAATCATTAACTTTTCCAGCTGATGGTATAACTTTTGCTTTTCTTGGATCATAGCTCAATACAAAAATTTATCACCATTATTAGAATAGAGATGAAGATAATAGCAACTTTTGTTTCCTTCTGCTCTGGTATGGTGATGAAAAAACTCAGCACAAATGAATGTCATATTTAAATAACCAAACAAATTAATGAAAACGCTACCTACCGAAATATTCAATATTTAGACAATTTGTGAGAATATGTGGAAATCTTCAAGGACAATACCAACTATTATTATCATACATTCTATAATAAAGGTTACAAGCACGCCAAGATTCCCTTCCTTCTGGCTTGACTACTATGTACCTTCTAAGAAATCTTTGAAATATCAGAAAAAGGCAAAAGAAGTTTTGAAAAGTCTGGGACTACAGAATGCATCTAATGGTTGTTCAGATAAATTTGAACAAAGACTGACAAGACTGAAATTTGAGAAAGATAAGATTTTTAAGATTATTTGTGGTGAAGAAAGATCAGTAGATATGCAACATGCAAAGAGGCAGTGCTTCTTCCTCACATGCCCTCTGTATCATTTCACATTTTCTTTTGCAGTTTTGTCCTGGTAAAAACAAAATTTCGAAACTGTGCATTGCTCATCTTCAGCAGTCCATCTGGCTAATGCACAAAGCGAGACACATATACTACTGTAATTTAGGTAGGAATTATAACAGTGAACTATATATTAACAAATATATAATTCTATAAACATATAATCTTATCAAAAATACAATTCTATTTATAGAGCTATGATATATTTCAAACCCAAAAGAAGAAATAAACTCATTCTTTATTGACAGCACTTATAAGAATTCATTTCACAATGGGTTAAACAAGATACTGTGGTACACATAAAGCCTTTAATGTTGAAAATATGCTTTAATATTCTTTCTTACAGTCTAATCCTTGAGTTTCTAAGTCAAAGATCAACTTCCCCACCCCGCCTGTTTTAGTGGATAGATGCTAAATATCGAACAGAACATTTTGCAAGAAAATTATTTTTCTTTCAGAAATGCAATGGTTCATAATTTTAACTGTTTTCTTTTTAAATTTCCATATTCAAACTACACTTTATGTTCTGCTCAGAAAATACAAGATCTCATGTGTAAAAGATATGTCACTTAAATTCTAACATACTGTGCTTTTTTTTTATTTTTATTTTTTTCCCTAATTTCCACAGGGGGAAAAAAAAAAAAAAAAAAAAAAAGATTAAATTCTATACAAGACCACAATGGCATTTCTTTGCTTGCTGGGGATTATTCAGATGTGCATGACATCACAGATCTTTTTTTCTTCTTATACCCATGCATTTAATAACTTTATAAAAAGAAAATAAAATTGTCTCCATAATTTTCAAAAGTGTTGATTTTGAGTCTTTTTATGATTTGTCAACAGATCATTTATTTGAGCACTAAAAGTAAATGACAATGATTTTTTTTATTTGTTTGTTTATTATCATGCTATCCAATAGAAAAATCACTCTAAAAAAAATAATAAGCACAGATTACATTACATGAAAACCCTCTTTAATGCAACTTAAGTTTACAGCATAACTTACCATCAGAATGGTACTTACTTGAGAATAAGATATTCTCCCACTAATGTCATTAAAATAGTAAATCGTCGCAACACTGTGAACATTGGAAGGCTGGAAGAAAAGTTTTATTTTTAAATACATTAATCTAATAAAAAATATAATAATGCAATCAAAACTTTTATTTTTATGCCACATAAAGCTATGCCAAAAATAATTTTCATGCTCTTAACAAATAGCATAAAAAATACTAACATAAGAAATATTTTATTTTGAAATCAAATACGCAAAAAGTTGCACAATTACAACATAAGAAAATTCATTTATCTTCAAAGTACTTCCATTTCCTATAATATACATACTCTTCATTTTTATAGGATTTTCCACGTAAGTTGCATACTTGTGAATATCATAAATACAACTACTTATTCATATATTTCCTAAGGGTCCATGACACTTAGTCGATGGGACACTTAACCAACACCAGTTAGTCGACAGGACATTTAGCCGACATGGACAGTTAGCCGACAGGACATTTGGCCAACACAGGAGTTAGCCATCAGGACATTTAGCTACAGGACACTTAACTGTCAAGACATTTAATTTAGTCAACAGGATACTAAGCCGACAGTGACGTTTAACTGACACGTACCCAATAATTATTTAAACTTACTATCAATGACAAAATTTCTCGACTTCTGCATCAATTCAATATTTAAGTTATTTTTCACCTATCAGTAAAATTCATTTTTTGATTCTTAAAAATCTCATGTGTGCTTTTAATTATTGCATTAATTTAGCATTGTTTGATATGTATCATGTTGTTTGGTGTATATTGGCCAAACTAAAAAAGCTCTGAAATTTCTCGTCAGGGAATATGAATTAAATTTTGAAAGGAAAAGAGAATTTTTTAGCTCACTTAATTACTTTTTAATACCGGATTTTCAAAAATACTCCTTAAAGCTTCTTCATTTAATCAACTGGGTTCTTCTGAACACTTTCACATCATTAATATTTTTTTTTGTTTACTTAACGATATTAATTTTCCAATCTCGCTCTTCCAAATGCTTTCAAATTTCTAATACCTTTATGTTTCATTACCATTTTACCATACATCATGTTACATCTTTCCTTACAAAATCGTCATTCTTCCACAAATGAAATCCTTTCGCCTGTCATGAGAAATCTAATTAAGCAATAAAAATTGTTATTCTTGAATTAGCTTTTATAGAAACAATGGTGGGAAGGGTTAGTTTAGCAAATACATTTTATTTTGTTATTAAAAAAATTTTAAAAAATGAATTTTTAGAGCAATAAAATTATTTGTGACCTCTATAATGAGCTGTTCATGCCATCCTTCTTGAGATAAAAATCCTGTAACATTTCATTGACCACACGTACCCACTCCTATTTCCCGGCTGGAAACTAACTGATAGTTGTCACTCTGATTGCCCTTAGGGGATTAGATCAATATAGCTTATTAAAGCCCATCTCGGACAATATGCATAAGCAATTAGCATTTAAGCATTGAGCACGCCTCTCTCTTAAAATACTTAAGTTAATGTTTATAGCACTAAACTGGTACATAATGTTTAATTTAGAAGTAAAATATTCTTTAAGGTTTTGTTTTATTCATAACTGAATACATTTCTGCAAAAACTATATTTTTCACTCTTCATATATCAAAAACATTGCTGATATGAAATTCTGGATGTGGGAAAATTTCCAAAGAGAAATTGGATGAAGCTGCAGGATGGGCCACAAATACAGCAAGGCGGAGCAAAGCGAGAAATCCTGAAAAGACTCTGTAATGTGGTGCCATCTATCGATAATAGATTTAACTAGATGAGTCATGGCAAGGCCAACTTATACTCAAGGCATGCCAGTGTGAAAATATTCTTTTGTTTTCAGTGGCCTCCACGAAATTTCTACTGACCGCAAGATGGCGCTACTTTTCTGCTACAGTTTGCGATGTTAACTATGAGCAGAAATGTACCAGAGACTAATATTGTCTTGTTATATACAAAATTTTAAAACGATTAATCTGTGGTAGTTAGAAATTATACATTTCCTTTTTAATAAAAACATTTTTTTTTAGAAAGAAAGCATGAAGTTTCAAATTATTCCATTTTTTTCCCCATATATATACATCAGCTACTTGATTCTGATTTTAATTCCTGTTTGCATCTACATATACGATATTTTGAATTGTACTTATTAGAACTATTGATTCTAATTTAAGTGTAATTTAGAGCATATATTTCACTTTTCAATTATTCATATATTATGAATTTAGCTGGTAGCCTCAGAACATAAACTACTTCAGCACAAAATTTTCACCATATTCCTATCTGCTGTCCTGAGTGCAACAAAATAATTTACTGTCCCCTATTAAATATGAAATTAATAATTATGATTTAAAATTTGTATATCTGTTTCTAATACATGAGAGAAAAAGTATTTTTAAAAGAGATTTAATTTTAGGTACTAAAGACTTTTTTTTTAATTATTATCAAAAAAAATTTTTTAGGAAATATTAAAAATAAAATTTTAAATATTGCAGATTTAGAGCTCTGAAATGTAAATGCAACATTACATATATTCAAATTCATAGCAAGTATTTCAATACCACCAACAGCATATAATAATGACATACATTATATTAATCACAATTAAACGTGTGTAAAATTATAAGCCTGTTAGTGATGAATACGAAGTATTTCACTATCACCTACAACCTATAATAATAATATACATGATATTAATCACAATGAATCCTATACTCTCTCTGTCCCAAATTAGTTGCTACATTTGAATAATTTTGTATTGATTATTGAGACTGAAGATTTTATGATTTCATTTGAACATTTTTCAGAAATTTCAGGGTATTATGCTATCAGCGAATAACTTTACTTACTAAGCATTCCCTCCTTAAATAAGAACCAAATTAGTTTAAAAAATCCAGGGTTCGCACACCCTTAAGCCACGCCCCATTTTGTAGGCACTCTTCCATTAGTAATTGCATAAAACTATTTTCTAGCTAATGAATTGTGAATTCAATGATTTGTCTCATCTATACAATACAGTTTACCTTAGAAAGTCTTCTAGGAAGACATCCCTTCCCTTAGGCAGACAGCCCTCGAGGTTTTGCTTTAATCACATTGTGCTTCTGATTTACTGGTGGTAGAGTTCTTACAGAATGGGGTGTGGCTTAACAATGAGCGAACCCTGTATATTTGCTTCGATAAAATTGTCCCAAAATAAGTCCTACTTTTGTAGAAAGTAAAAACTGAGAATGAAAAACCTAGTATGCAGCATTACATTCATTGTAGTACATTCTATAATTTGAATAATGTTGATCTATAAACTACATCGAAAGTTATTTATGCCTCCACCTATTTGAAATGTAACAACAAATTTGGGACAAAATTTTCCACCTAAATGTAACAACTAGCTTGGGACAGAGGGAATATAAAATTTTGAGACTGCTAGAGCTGAATACCAAGTATTTCAATATCATTGACATCATGTAACAAAACATAAAGCCATATTCCATAAAATGAAAAGTATTAACTCTATTAATTACACACACACACACATATATATATATATATGGATACTACAAGAATCTCGATTACATCAAGTACAACCACAAAACACTCAGCCAGGTAAACACAAATTCATGCAAAGCATACTGATACATGACACTAATTAAAGTGAGATATGCACTATAAAATTTTGAAGCTAGTACAGATAGTATTCAAATGTTCCTGGATCAAAGATAACAAATAGGAGATCTAAAAAGTAATAAATTCCATAAAAAAAAGGTAATGCAATTATCATTTCTTATAAAATATTTATATGCATGGATGCATTCTTATTTGCATTAAATTGAACTAATTACATTAAATTCACTTCTCAAAGTGTTAACAATTGGAAAAAAATTATACATATGTCAGATAGTAGGTTAAAATATCATGTATGTACAAAACAGAGATTATCTCCAGTATGATAGAAAAATTTGTGATATTTTTACAGCATGAAGATGAAAAAATGACATGAAGCTGAACATAAGAAGCTTGTTTATATACAAAAACTGGGGGACAAAAGCATTTCAAAAGTATTTTAAAGCTTTAAAATTTTACTTTATGATGGCTTTTGTTTAAGAAATTTTGTACTATGCATTTGTGTTACGTATTTGCATTAAATTCGTATTACATGTAACATTGAAATGCTATTCGTCCATCAGTGATATGTCTGGAATAATCATTTATATACAATCCTAAAAAATTTGTTAAGAGGAAGAAAATTTTTCAGTATGGCCTGCAACAAAATACCATTCTGTATTACTATTAGCAAATAGCAATACTTTTTAACAAAATAAACTTTTTGTCAATAATGAGCTACATTACAAATGTTGAATATATAGCGGTATGCGAGAGCCACCTAAAGATGAATTTCGCAAAACCCACTAGAAACTGGCAACAGGAATCTCATCCTGCCTGACAGACCTTTTGTATAAGTTGGTCTTTGTCATGTAACTAGATAATATTATGTACTCTCTTTTGAAAGTTGAAATGTGTAATTTTCAATATAATATGTTGCATTAATGTTTTTCTTATAATATGTAACTTTTCTCAATATCTGTTAAAAATGTATAAATTTTCATTTCATTTTTCATTAATTTTATTATTTTTTTCTCTTTCATTCCTTCTCTTTCTCGTTTTTCGTTTAGCTACATGGTAATGGGAAAACTTTTGGTGCACATTTTCCTGAATACTTTTATTATAAAGTTCAGGCCTAAAAAGGCAATTTTCATTGAAAGAGATTGGTAAAACTGGTATTAAGTAAAATAGTCACTCTATTTCTGTAAGTCCCAGCAGCAGCCGAGCAGTAAAGTCGCTGAACACTGACAGTTCGGTCCAAATTTCAAATCGCGTGAACGGACAAGCTGCATGGGTGTTTTCGTGGTTTTCCCCATGTGTAACATGTATATGAGCCAGTTTTCCTTAAAAAGACCTAGACGAAGGTATCCCTTTCCTTAGACAGATAGCCCCCTGGCTTTGCCGTAATTACATAAACCAAACCTACTTCTGTTAGGTGGCCGCAGGCCACAAGGTATGAATTCCTGTGACGGATCCCTATCCCAAATTAATAAATATGTGATGCCTAATGTGTAAATAGCATTCTGAGGGTGTAAATAGCAGTTATGAAAAAAAATGTTGTTCCAGTGTGGCGAGGAGTAGGGCGAATCAATCTACTTCCTGACAGGGAAAGGAAATTTTAATAGTGGGAGGAGCGAAACGACTTTATACGGGAATGAATGTAGTGTGATATCTTGAGCAAAGTAGTAATGAAATCTGAAAGTATTAGAAATCTGAAAGCAATGGAAGAGCAAAACTCATTGTCGGCTTAATGTCCTGTAGGCTAACTGTCCATATCGGCCAAATGCCCTGTTGGCTAAGTGTCCGTGTCGGCTAAGTGTCCATGTTGGCTAAATACCCCGTCGGCTAAGTGTCCATGTTGTCTAAGTGTCCCTGTCAGCTAACTGGTGTCAGTTAAGTGCCCCGTTGGCTAAGTGTCTGCGACCGAGTTTCTAAGCATATGGCAAAAATTTACAATAAACACTAAATAATTACCTAGATCTGTGACAACTGTGCTTTGTGCAAAAATTCTTCTGACTCCATAATATAGTGTGTTTAATATATCTTAAGCATTATGATGCTGAATGGAAATGGTAAAAACAGGAAATTGTAAAGAGCATTAAGTCATAATGTCTTAATTTGAATTCTTCAATAAAAGAAGGGGAGAATTAAACTACTAAGATTTGAATAGAAATACTGAAAAATAAAATCACACACCTAAAATAATGACAATAAAAGAATGAAGTGAAAAATAAATGTTGGTCTATGTTTAATTTTCTATCCTGAATTATTAAACTGTAATAAATTTTTACATAGTGAAAAACCAAATAACCAATCTAAAATAATGTTAAGGAAATTATTGAAGCGAAAAATAAAATCTGGCCAAAGGATAAATTCCAGATCGTCTAATTTTGTTACTTTATTCTTCACTTTTGCACTAGAACGAGCCCTGCCATTTGATGGAAAAATTAGGCTACTAATCTTTCATCTCTCACGACTAATACTACACTTCAAAGTACTGCCTTTTTTGGGGGGAGGAGAATACTTTTCCCTTAAAAATCATCCCACACACTTTTGGCATCACATTAGAGCATTTTGGTTTATTTCTTTCCCCATGCCTTTGACTTCACACATTCGAATAGGCACTTTTTTCATCAATCCTTTTTATTTTTTCTAACTTTCTTCCATTTTATCAAATTTCTATTATGTTTATTGCACTGACTAAATAAAATATGCAAAACTAAAATAAAAAATTAACCTTGTTTAAAGAAAAAAATGAATTTAAAAAATAAAAAATAATATAAGACTAAACAGCAGGCATGAAATTCAAAATGGCATTAACAGCATACATAAAATTAAAAATATTATTTAGCATAACACAGAAAATTTCTCTTTTGGAGTTCATGCAACACACTGTGAATTCAATTAAATACATTATTCCACAAGTGCACAACAGATTGGTTCCCAAATCAATGAAATGATAAAAATTATTTATTGTGAAATATTTCAAATCCCAATCCATCACAGTAAGGGAGGGGGAAGAAAGAAAGAAAACAAATTAATTACAGATTAGGTAGAAAACACAGTTGCATGAGCAATAATTGTGAAAACAATTATTGCCTGGAAAGAAGGCAAATTAAAGTGGTGCTGCTTCATGTTGAGAAAATACATCAAAATGAAAAAAAAAACATGTGTTATAGCTTTAACAGAAAAGAACCTATTTTTACTTCCTTGTTTGAAGTAAAAAGGAACTATTGTAATTATGAAAAGTTTCAGGCAGCATATTTCAAGGAAAATATCCATTTTGACCGCTATTGAATGCAATTTAACGATTCTTTGCGTGACATCTGTGCGTAAAGACAGAATAAAAGACTCTTTTCCTCCCAAAAAATTATAAAACTGCTTTAAAACGAAATATGAAGATAATTTTTCGTGGTATATGTACATACGTATGTATCTCGCATAACTCAAAAAGGAATAGCCTCAGAATGTTGAAATTTTGTATATAGGACTGCTATAGCATGTAGATGTGCACCTCATATTTTAATTCCAATCGGCCATACCAAATGTATATAAATATATTTATATATATATATATATATCCATTGTGTTACCCGGCTCAGTGATCTCATCATTTCTTTACTCTTATATGTTTGTAAATTGTGCGTTTGTTGCTTTAAAAATGATTAAATTATGTTGTTCTTATCTTCCGGTTAAGGTTTTTACGCCTTTAGGAAATCTGCAAGCAATATTTGTAGAATAATCAACAATTTAAAAGCTGTTTAAGTGTGGTTAAGCCTAATTTTTAAATAATATGGCAGACATATTTGTTTACATTTGAAACAGCAGAATAGTAGATTTGTTGCCAATGTAGAGAGACTAAGCTACGCAACAACAAAGATAACGCCTTCATTTATTATTGTGAATTAAATCATGCTTAATCCTTTCTAGAATTTTTCGAGAAAATAAGTTTTTAAGAGTTACTTCAATATTTTTAATATAGATATTTTGAGTTTTTATGTATTTTTGCCTTGTCGTGAAGTGAGGACTGAATTAATTGAATGAGAGATACTGAATCGTCTGTGAAAAACTTTTTTTTTTTTTTTTTTGCTTGCTTAATTTCTTTTATACATCATTCTACTAGATTTATTATAGTATTTGAATAGAACATGTCGCAGTGATAAGATAATGATATAAATTTTTTGCATTCTGAGTTATAATATGAATGAAATATAACGCTGTTAAGTGAACCTAGTGCCAGAGAATCTCTATGATAAACAATATGGTGAATTTTAAAGGGTGCATTTATTCTACTGTAGTTTATGTGCTGTCAACAAAATAGATTTAATTCAATTCAATAAACTTAAATGAAATGCAAGAAAAAATATGTATAATTTAATGTTCCATACAAGGAAGTCATGTGGTGTACAGATCAGATTTTTTTTTTCTTAAATTTCAATACAAGCAGCATTAAAACTGTAAAAATTAGAAACTGACCACTTTACTATTCTCAAAAAACATGTCTGCTTTTCATTTATTATATCAAATACCTCAAATTTACCACGGAACACAGCTTTTAAAAATGTACGTTCAATATACTCTCACTCTATATATATATATATTTGAATTTAACAAACATTCTCTATTCGTATATATATATAGCAAAAAACAAAGGAAGTAAATAAGTATTTACTTCCTTTGTATACTTTCCTTTTAAAAATTAATGTTCAATATACTCTCACTCTTTATATATATATTTGAATTTAACAAACATTCTCTATTTGTATATATATATATATAGCAAAAAGAAAAGGAAGTAAATAAGTATTTACTTCCTTTATTATTTAAAAACCGAATGACCAATCTAGTCAAAATTAGCACTTTTAGCTGCTGATTCTTTAAATTAATTTAAATAAGAAAGGAATTTTAAATCCCAGAAAAAGTCATTAAAAACACCTGCAGTTTCCTATCTTAATTCCAGAAATACTTTGTAAAATGAGTTACTAAGCAAATTACAAATATGAACTAAAAAAACCTTTTGAAACAGAAAAATTTTTTTTAAAAATAAGCACAAAAATATTTTGTTAATCCTCTCTGTTCAAAGCTTCAAACAGAACTTGCCAATGGAAAAGTGCTTGAAGCCTCCAACCAAGTTGATTAACCAACCATGCTAACATGTATATTGTGAGTAAATTCCATTATGTGAATAACACATTTCATGCACTGATACCAACAACTGCAATGGATGTTATTTTTTGCATTTTCCTATATTTAAATTTTTACAGCAAAATGTGCAGCTCAAAGAATAAATGTGCTATTAATTACTATTTAATATTCTTTAACTATTAATTCTGTGTTACAAATTAAACAAGTAATGTGTTAAAAGATTTATATATATATATATAAATTCTATGCTTTCTTCTATTTTTACCTAAGATGCTTTGTGCCTCCTAAACCACATACTAAGTTTCCTATAAAGAATAAAGGCAAAGGCCAAATCTGCAACAGAAGAAAATTCAGTTAAATTAAACAAATAAATAATTAGATATCAATTATTTGTTTAAAAAATTAATTACACAATTTAGAATTTATATACACATAGGTAAATGAAGTTAATAAACATCTATAAATAACAATAATCAAGAACTAAGAAAATAGTATACCCCCCCCCCCAAAAAAAAAGAGAGAGAGAGGGAGAAGGAAAAAAAAAGTCCATAAAGGTTCAGATTTCAATAACTCCTCAAACGAACAACAGGAAATTAGATGAATACGCATTTAGACTAACAAGGGAACATTATCTTATGTATAATTAAAAAGGTGGAAAATATGTAATGTTATTCAATAAAAATATCTAATGTTTTTAATTAGACATATAGTGAATAAAATGTATTTTTATTTAAATCAACCAAATTAAAAATTTTAAAAAATAATATTATTAAAAACTGCAATTATTGCTTTTAATTAGTTTGTTAATTAACAAGACAGAATAAAAGCAAAAGAATAATATCTCACATTTTCCTAGATACATATCTAACCCCACACAAAAAAAATATCACATGCTTCACATCAGTGATTCTCCACTTCTTTTGTCACATGCACTACTTTTATTACTGCCGGAAGATCATCCACATCCCTCCTTTTCCAAAACTCGAAAAATACATACATAATTCCGTGTGCAAGCCAAGAATTTTTGGAATATTTTCTAAAACTAAATTATGGGTGTCGGCTTATATACAAATCCACTCATCTCCCAAAAAATACAGATACTTTTCCATTAGCCAGACACAAGCAATAAATCTTTAAATTACAGGTTTAACTTTTTGAGCCCATAAGGCTATTAATTTCGTTTTGGAATTTTGCGTTGAAAACTTTAATTGTCGGCTCACTTTTCAAATATTTGCCACCAAATATTATTGCATTATGTTATATTTAAAGAAATTAAATAGTAAAGAAATCTGCATAAGCATATGTATGTTTCTGCATAAATATATGTATGTTTCTCGCATTGTGATAAAACAACAATACCCATATGGAAGCCCCAATTTGGAATTTGTTTTATTATCTATTTCATATTTTGTAAAGCATTTATGAGTTTTTGATTAAGAAACTCGACAATTTCAAAGAGAGCAATGGCAACACTGTACGAAAAAACATTTTTATGAGACTGTGTATCGGAAATTCTTAAGATATGCTTATTTTAAAATTATTTTACAATATTGCTGTTGAATTGAATTTTATAATTTAAGTGCAAAGAACATGATACTTAATAAACAAAGGTAACACACAAAATGTTAAAAAAAAGGCCCCTTTGGGCAAAATGTAAAATCTGAAAGCTTTCAGATTTGTTTTTAATGATAATTTTTCTGCAGCTTAATGCAAGAAAATACTAGGCATGTTTATATTTTGTTTTCAAAAGAACTGTTTTGTAATTATATATATATTATATGTATTATCAAACTAAAAAAATTCATTCATGAAAGCTACGACGAAATACAAATCATTAAAGACATGGTTCTCGATTTTTGTATATTCAGACTTTCTAATTGTCTGACTCAACGCAAAATTTATTTTACAGTCAATTTCCTGCATCCACAGTTTGACAATATTCGATTCTTTAGAATCAACGATTGTAAAGTTTACTTCCCAGCTGTAAACACCATACCAATAGTTGCATTTAAATATCAAAGGACCTTAAGCAACTTGCTAACTAACCACCATGAAATAGATGAGACAGCAGAATGACATTGCAAGTCACCAGTTTACAGTACTTATGCAGATTCTCATCACCAGCACATAATTACTGGCAACCTGAATATCATACAAAACCATCAACTAAAAACACTAATGAATTATGGTGCAAAATTTAGACCAGTCAGAAACATAACGAAAAATTACTGTTGCAAGACTTTTGAAAACAACATCAACGAATGTATAGTTAAAGCAAGCTATCAGCTGAATTTACCTATAGATACCTTTTTAAAATGGAAAGATGAAATTCTTCAACGCATATCCACTGAAATCAATCACCTCAAGTTTAAAAGTACAATGAATTGGTCGCAACTTAGATCAGATATTAAAAATTTAAAAGAATTTTTTACTATTACAAAAATAGATAAAGCAAATAATAACTTTAGCATTATATGAAAACAATTCTACGCAGAAATTATTCATAAAGAACTTTTCAATGCAACTACTTATCAATTAGCAAACCTTACAGAAACATCTATAATAAACAGAATTAAAACTTTTCATAAAAAACTAAATATTACTTTAAATCCAAGCTACAACAGATTTAGTAACCTCTATACACTTCCCAAATTCCATAAAACAACATTAAAATTCAGATTTATAGCAAATGGAACTAATAATTACAAGAAAAATGTAGACTATTATTTTTCAACTTAAAAAAAATCTGTAAATTTATTTTCAATGATTGTAACACTAATCATAACTATTGCTGGATCATCCTTAATAACACTCCTGTCATTAATGCCATTCAAACAATTAACATACAGAACATTAACTGCTATGACTTTGAAAACTTATATACCTCACTTCCTCTAGAAGAAATTTATACCAGTCTACTAGATCTGCCTAAACTCTTCCCTGATATGCTCACGATTATGAATCTTAACAAATGGAAAACCTACCTAAATTGCACACTTTTTCATAACTACATCAAATTTCAAAATCAACTTTTTAAACAAGTCAGAGGTCTTTCAATGGGGTCTCATTCCAGTACCTCGCTCTGTAATATCTTTTTATTTATCAAATAATTTAACTTCCGAAAAAATCTACAACCACAAGAATACTAACAAATTAATAAATTGGAATTCCAACATATCCAAAAAAGTAATTAACAATACAATAATAAATCAAATACAACAAATTAAAAATATCTGTACAGATATGATAGATCTACAATGCGAAATTTTGCTCCTTATTAAAATTCTCAAAAATAATCTAATACCTAATCAATTTATTAACCATTGCCTTAAAAGAGCAGGCGTTAAATACTCACTCTAAATCATTTAACTGATAGGGATACGATAATTTGTTCCTAAACCTGAGAAGGCGGTATAAGTTGGATGACTATCGGTTGAACGATTTGTACATAGTGTAATTACAAAGCTGTATATAATGTAAAAAGCTAATTGTCTTCAGAGTTATGCTGTTACTAAAAAAATGGGCCTATTTCATAATCTTTAGTCTGTCAAATAGCTCTTTGACAGCGAAAATTCCTTTTTTCCTTTTCTTAATTTCTTCCTCGTTACGACACGACAATTAGCCAGAAAATAATTAATTTCCAAAAAATTTCAAAAACTTTTTTGGAAATGCGATTTTGTTGATGTTTTTTGAAAATATTTTCAATACATTTTAACAGACGGTTTCACTCAAATAAGAACTCCACAACATTAACGACCCTCAAGAATTCTTAGTCACTCCCGCTCCCATAAATTACTTCACACAAGTCTCACCGACTGATATAATTCAAAGCCCCCGCTGCTGATAAAGAATTTCAGAAACACAACCCTTCTGAGTCAGACGCGAAGAAAACACTTTGCCCACTTCCCACTAGAAAGAACGTAAGTTAATTAATGCTTTTTCTGGCCTTTTATATCTTCATGTACATTCCCTTTTCTTATTATATATATTTTAAATTTCAATTTTTATTTTTTATTTTTGATTTGTTGTTGCAAAGATTGCATTATATTTCTTATATTTCGTAATTTTCTAATGTTTATTTGAATTACTTTGAGTTCTATTTCATAATGCCAATTTCCAATGTTTAATTTTTACAAATAGTTTTGAATTGAAATGCATAAACACGAGGGTGTCGGGGGACAATTACTCGAGTAATTCATCAATTTTACTGCAAAAATTGCTTTTCACTCAAAATTGAATTAGCGAAATTGTTTGCTTACTTGCTTTTAATTTAATGATTACTTGCTTTTAATTTAATTATTTGCTTTTGATTTATTTCTTTTTACAATTGAAATTTTGTTATTCATGATTTAATTCAAGTCCCCGTTAAACATTTTTAAAAATGTACATTCAAGTTACTTTAAAACAATTTTCGGAATTGAACTTACTAACTATGGATTCACTCTTTTAAGATAATTCTACTAAAATTAATCTTAGGAGATAATATAATAAATATTTCTTTAGTAAATAAATTATTATTAACTTACTTTGCAGCAACTGCACAAGTAGTAGAATAACTCGATTTCGCACTAAGTGAATTTAAGATCATACAACATTATAAACATATTATAAATATATATATATGTAAGATAAAATTATATGAATCAGAATTATAATATAACTAAAAACATTAATTCTTCCTCACTATTCTAAAATCGTAATAACTTCTCTGCATTGCGTCATTTCTAGATCACTCTATGGCCCGCGCAACTTTGATGATGTAATAATTAAGAACTGAAACTGTCGTTGTAAACCAAAACTTTTCTCTTCGCGTGCTTCCATCTTGCATAACTACGCACTTCAGCTTTTGCCCTCTACTCTGCTAAGATGTAATTTCACTGGCTTGCTTTCCTTCTCAACAATATCAAAAATGTAAATCTTTTGTGGAAAGGCACGATTAGAGTGCCAAGTGATTGTGACCACAAATATCAATTGAAAATAAAAATGGAATTAAAACTGCTTCGACTGCCAAGTTCTTTAGATATTACCAAGTTAGCATTACTAGCATACTACGCAACCAAATTCGTCTTCAATATGGATCTAAGCAAGCATCGACACTGCTCCGGCTTTTCCTTTCCTTTTATTATGACAATTAAGTCGACAGGATAGTTTCCTGCAGCCTGAAACCTCAATGGAAAATTTAGTTCAGCTCTTCAAATCATTGTTTTGTGATAAATCCAAGATAATGTGAAAGAAGTGAATCATCAAATTTGTTTTTTCAGTGTTTAAAAAATAACAGATCATTCTTCTGCTGTGGTGTTTTGCAAGTGCTTCAAAATATAATCACGCATAGTGTTTACAGATTGAAAGTAATCTCTCGATAAATTGAGAAGTTCGAATGCCTAGTGAAAAGGAAATAATCAGTGAATTACCGTTTAGGAATTAAGCATTACAGCGAGTTCAAGGTCGATCTGAGTTAGTGTTTGCAAGTATGTGCGACAGAAAATTATTTGCACTTCCGCTTTTGCAACAGCTCAAAAATTATTACATTCGTGTGAATCTAGCTCAGGAACTAAATTATTTAATGTGCTGCGGATTCTATAGTTTTCATTTCAACTTTGGTAAAAATTTCTGCAATTTGTTTTGAGAAAATCTGAAATTCTTGTTCATTAATTTTTGTAAATTTTTATAATTATGTGTGAGCAAATTAAGTAACGAACTTTAAGCTATTTAAATTATTCATTGGGAAGAATATTAAGATAAGTTTTTATATTTTTGAAATTTTGTTGAGAATTTTGAATACGAATTTTATAATTATTCTAAAAATGAAGTAGGTGTAAAAAAATAAGTGAAATTATTACAGATACGTAATATGAAATTATGGTAAATGCATGTTAAATTTATGGGTGATTGTATGTTAAGTATAGTGTATGTCGAGGGAGTACTGGGTTCCTAAAACAGAGGCCTGTAATTACCTCTGTACAGTTGTTCCTTTAACCCTCTTCAAGTAAGATAATGTTGGAGGCTCTCATTTTATGAGTGTGTGCAATTTTGTTATATTATTATTATTATTATTATTATATTTTTTATTATGGAATGTATTAGTGCAGTTTTCAAAGGCCAGTTACCTTAATGCAAGAAACGGAGACCTTTTCAAGTAACTGTCTAGGCACCCTGGGCCACCAGTGCAGAGAACACACTGCTTAGCTCAAGAGGACAGCAATATTGATGGATATATTTGTTTAGAAGTATTGCGAGGCTTCCAGTTTGGTCAAATCAGGAATTGTAAATGAAAGATGATAACGGTGAAACCATAATTTCTGAAGCTTACTCCTATTATTATATGGTATTAAAATATAATTTATCAATATGAAAATTAATATCATAAATACTTATGTGCATTACATTTAATTATAAGTAATGATTATGTAAAAGTTTATTTTGTGATATTCTGCGATAACAAGAACTTTCCCTGAAGAATTATGATTATGTGAACTCTCAAACAAAAAGACTTTTGGACTGAAATGCTGAAAAATTCAATAGGACTCTAAAAATTAAAACTTTATTTTTAAAAAATTGATATTTATAAATTATACTTTACAGGACAAAAATTTTATGATTTTCTTTTTGAAGGGGGGAATATGTAAGATAAAATTATATGAATAAGAATTATAACTAAAAACATTAATTCTTCCTCTCTATTCTAAAATCGTAATAACTTCTCTGCATTGCGTCATTTCTAGATCACTCTATGGCCCGCGCAACTTTGATGATGTAATAATTAAGAACTGAAACTGTCGTTGTAAACCAAAACTTTTCTCTTCGCGTGCTTCCATCTTGCATAACTACGCACTTCAGCTTTTGCCCTCTACTCTGCTAAGATGTAATTTCGCTGGCTTGATTTCCTTCTCAACAATATCAAAAATGTAAATCTTTTGTTGAAAGGCACGACTAGAGTGCCAAGTGATTGTGGCCACAAATATCAATTGAAAATAAAAATGGAATTAAAACTGCCTCGACTGCCAAGTTCTTTAGATATTACCAAGTTAGCATTACTAGCATACTACGCAACCAAGATCTTCAATATGTGTCTAATCACGCATCTACAGTGTTCCGTCTTTTCTTTGTGCTTTTATTATGACATATATATATATATATATATATATATATAATATATATATTTCACAATTTAGATTTTTAAGTTTAACAAAAAAGTGCATTTTAAATGAGTTACTTGTTTTAATGAAAGGAAGTTATTTCATTTTTGAAATTGTTTATAGTGCTGGTTTGTTGCATTATCAGCAAAACAAAAATTCTGATGTTGTCGAAATTTATGCTAGTCTTTCTCCACTCTTGACACTTGTTTTCCATTTACTGAGAAATGTCGAGCAGACATATTGTTACTAGAATTTTCAGCAAATGCAATCACATGTAATTTTTAATTTTCCATAAGAAATTCCCTTCCAACTCATCTTTCAGACAAAAAATAAAATGGCACAGAAAATAAGACTAGCACTACCACAGATTGCATACAAGACAATCAGTAGAATGAATGGGGGAAATGTACTAGATTCAAATGGGGTTGCTAGAGTTAAAAGCATCATTGTTGGCATCTTTGCAATGATTTTGTTGGAAAATATTCTATTTGTTTTATCTGCTTGGCAACATTTTCACCCTCAATGGTGAAGTGTTCGAATGTTAGGAATTTTTTTATTTCAGCTTATATAGGGGTTTTGAATTTTAGGTAAATTCTTGAGGAAAAAAAAACACACTCTTGGCTTATACATGCATTAGCTTATATTCGGAAACTTATGATATATACATTTATTTAGATTTAGATTATTTTTAATGAGTTTTGTAACCTATATAAAGCTGCAAAAAATGTTAATAAATACCTAAACTTGAATAAAAGTAGTTTTTTATGCTCACTGTAAAACTGGTACTTTGGTATTATTGTTACCTCCTTAGTGCAATTAGGTGATTTTTTGAAAAAAAAAAAGGATGAAAATTTCAAATCAGAAAAGGTTATTTCATATCATACATGTTGTTAGATACATATTTTAATTTCAGGTCAGTATTTATTCTGGAGAACAGTTTACAAAACTACTTACAAATGGTATCTTCCAATCTTAACGTCTATTTCTAACTCTTCCAAGCAAAAATTTATTAATTCTTTACTCCAGCAATGTATAAAGCTGACTGGTGTAGCAAATAAAAGACGACTATTCTTGAACCAATTATTGCTTCAAATGCCGACATGTTCATTACACTTTTCCACATCACATTTCCAAAATACATCATCATGCAAGTGAATCTGAGCATTCCCCTCTTTGTAGCAGAAAATTATATCCCTGCAAAAATTCAACATAATTTTTCTTTGTTTTCAGGCAAATCCTATAAGTGTACATTTCAAAATTCAGCTGAAGTTGAAAAATATCGCAACTTGCCTTTAGAGCTAGAGAGAATGCTAACCAAAACAATGCGTACAAAAATGGTGGCATTGCTTATTCAAGCTTATGGTATAAGCTTATTGCTTATTCAAGCTTATGGCTTATTCTTATTCAAGCTGATATGGTTATCTGAATAATTATTATATTATCCGCACTGCTGCCACAGTTTGGCCACTTCTGAAAATTTGGCGATTTCTATCAAGGTGGTTGCAATAATACCAAAGTACTCTAAAACTATACTTAACGGCTTAATAAAAGGCTGACACCCTTTTCCCCTTTACTAAGCAGACAACTATGCCATTTTAATGAAAATTCTGTTCACAGAATTGACTGAGATTATCAGCTGAAAAATATTTAATGACTAGAGTTTCCATAGATGAGAAACAACTTGTGAGATATTTTGTTTCCCAATTCTGATTGCTGTGTTTGATACAGTAATACTGGTTTGTTTCACACTAAATTATTAACTCAAGACAATTATGAATAAATACGCAAGTTTTCTAAAAACGTGTCTCCATGTCTTAAAATTTAATGTTCAGTTTTCTATCTTTATGAATTATTGTAATTTGAAAGGATATCTGTAATAAAACCAGCATCTGTGACAGAACATTGATGAGAGTGAAAACAGAATTATGGCAAGAATCGAGTTTGTAATAGTTATAATTACAAAAAGGAAACACTAGTAAGAAGTAGAAAATTTTTACGGCAATCAGTTATAGCTGCATCTAATAATATAGGAACTGAACTTCAAAGGGATGTCAAAATATTGAGCTCTTTTAAACATGCAGTTACAAGATAAATTTTCAAGATTTAGATTTAATTAAAATTTGTGAACTGTTAATGATATCAAACGATGAAACTGATTTTGAAAATTATTTTAGTTCAGCTGAAAGGTACAGGGATAAATACATACTAATAATAATGAAAGTAGAATGTAAAATAGCGAAAGCTATAGCACAGGTTCCTTCTTTTTGTTCTGAGAGTAATGAAAAGCAACGTTTTTAACTTCTAAAGTTAAGAGCTGCAGAAATTTAATGGTGAAACCAAAAACAAGTTGGGATTTTGAGGGTAGTTAAAAAAGATTGACAAAGACAAAACCATCGAAGATAATAAGTTTCAGTACTTGTTGCAAGCTACAGTTGCTGGTTCCCCAGCAAAAGAACTTTTAGAGAGTTATCCTTCATCTGGACCAAGGCGTTTGGATTACGGAGTACTTTTGCAATTAATTGCAATTACCTTCACATCATCGTTCAGAAAAATGAATTAAATAAGAGAGAAGCTAAAGTTGATGAAAGAGCAGATAAGCTAAAGTCAGGAATCGCTTAGAGTCCTTTTGTTAGGACACAGGAGGAGAGTACAAGAGTTTACCACAATTGAAGGCGTTTAGCCTCCCGTCGTGAGTCAACTTCTTGCATTTAGTAACAAAAGAGAAGGCAATCGGGATGCGAAGAGCGTGGATGGTTGCCATGGAGAAAAACAGCTGATGGCGTGAGGTGCAGTTGAAGGAGAACCGGTCCTTGGGAAAGGTAAGGTATTGAATCCAAGCGTTTAGCTAAGAGCCTTGGGATGGTCGGAGCAGGGACAAATGGGGTCACTGACCAAAGAAGGAGAAAGAGGCGAAAAAGCGTGGTTGCGGAGAGTTCGAATCAAAGTTAACTGGCTGAATAACTGGAGACAGTTTAGAGCGGAACTGGAGGAACCTTTATCTGGAAGAAATTACGAATAAACTCTAACACAAATGAAGTCAAGGTTTGCATATGAGGAATTACTGGAAGAAATTTATGTACATGAACTTTTAAATTTGGCTTTGGATCAAGACAGAAAAAATTGAACTATGCCACTTAGAAATTTATAAGATAATAGGTAAGAATAGGTAAGACCATTAGAAACACAAGATGTTAAAAGTAATATTTATGCTGCAATGCTTTAGCCTCTCATTCAATTAGCAATTAAAGAAAAGCTATTATTAAGAGCATGGGAACAATCTCATCAAAGTCAAAACAGTCACATGCTCAGAAAACTAAAAAAAAAATCTATTGAATTTCCCACGTATAAAAGTAGAAATTGAAGAAAGATTTTAACTTCCAAGAACAGATTTGCCAGGTTCTGAATAAAGATGTTTCTGTACCAGCTACAGCTGCTTGCATTTATGCAGGAGAGTCCAAAAAAAAATTAAGTATTTAGTATGCTAAAGGGACACACAGTTCTTATGACTATTATAAGCTGTACAATTTTTCATTAGAAGAAAAGAAGTCCTTACTGAAAAATAAAAAAGCACATTTATGCTGTTTGACAGCTGGTCATGTGAGTCACAAATTCAAGAATTCTGTCAAGTGCCTTTGGTGTAATGAAAGGCATGTGACTGGCATGTGTAGAGAACTCAAACATTCTCAAGGTCAGAAAGGGAAAGGTTCTAAACAAATCATAGGCATAAATGAAGTTCTTTTGTCCAAGCAAAAGATACACACAACAGTTTAGCAAATTATTTTAGTGAAAATTAATTCCAATGGAAAATTTGGTATTGTGAGAACTTTGTTCGACTATGCAGCTTAGCGTTCACACGTATGAAAAGATATATTTGGGAAACTAACTTAAATCTATTAAATCAAGAGATTCCAAGCGACAGCCTTTATGGAGGTATGGAAACAAAACTTCAAATGCATAATGTCTTTGATCTAAAGCTTCAAAGTCTAGACAGACAATCAAGTGTGAAATTGAATACAATTTTCAGTCACACACGAAGGGTTAAGTTCAAAAACATAGATTCTACTGACTATTCTATTAATTTTACTGACAGAATGAAGAGAAAAATAAAGAATAGAAGCTTACACTTTGGAATATAAGCTTATACTGATGGATATATACTTTCAACTGCTTGGTAACGCTTGGCCAAAAAGTTTCCAATTAAAAAAAGAGCAATCCCAAGGAAAAATAAAGAGCTAGTTGAACAAAATTTTAAAAAAATTCAAGTGTTATTTAAAGAAAAATATAAGCATTCATAAAATTAACATTGGCACGTTCAAAGAATACTTTCCTAGTATGAATAAATATTTTGTACCATATTCTACTCCTGGTAGGCTATCAAATAATGTTAACGAGTTAGTAGTTTTAAGGGTTCCTTATGCTTACTTATATAGCTATCAATTCTTTACAGAATGCTACAAACTAGCAAGCATATCAGGTGAAACATTTAATCTTTTGAATGAAATAGTCTCACTAAATGAAACAACATGAGAAAATTTTGAAAATGTATACACTGATGGTGCAAAGACAATGATGGGGCACAATGCTGCATTCTTCATAGACACGCAATGTCTTCAGAAAAATGCCTGAGCTTATAGTAGTGTTAAATGATGAATAAAAATAATAATCAAAATTGTGACTTCTTAAAAGCAAAATCTTTAAACTAAGGTCTGAAAATTGGGAACTTTCCTCTCACTACATGAAGTAAGGTGGCTGTTGTTTGAGCTGTGTGCAGGTGACATTTCATTGAGCTACGTGCAGGGAAAGCAATGTTTTTTATGCAACATAACTCTCTACTGGCAACAGTTGTAAATGATTAAACTGTGATATGTACACTGTCATATTTGGTGTACATTTTTAGCAAAATGAACAAAATGAGTCTCATCGCAAAGGGAAAAAATAACAGTTTTTCATGTAAATGACATTTGATTAAGCTGCATGCAGGGGGAGCAATGTTTTTTATGCAAAATAACTCTCTACTGGTAACAGTTGTAAATGACGAAACTGTGATATGTACACTGGCATATTTGTTGTACATTTTTAGCAAAATGAACAAAATTAATCTCATTGAAAAAAAAAAAAAAAAAACTAAGCATTTTCTTTTAAAAGGGTAATTATGTATTGCTTGGGAATTGCTTTGGAAATTAAATTACTCCATGAAATCCAAGTCCAAAATCATAACACACATACACACAAATACTAAAAGTAGTTTAATGAAAGCTTCAAAATTGCACATTCTATGAAAAAATGCAGTACTGAAACTGCTATGGGAATTCAACTATAGCTTAAAGACTGATATAAACTTCAGGTCAACTTTATTAAGTGAGTAATAAAAGTTAAAAGAAGAATCTTTGTATGCTCTTGGAACTACAAAATTTAGTACATCCCAAATTCAATATCTCTAGTAATATTAAGATGGGGAAAAAAAAAAAAAAAAAAAAGTTATTTCTACAGGAAGTTTTTGCACAACTACATGATGTGATAATTGCACACGTAATTATTATATGTATATACCCCAAAAAAAAAGTTACAGTCATTAACATAGTTTATATCATCACATTAATTTGCAACATTAAATAATTAGCAATCTATGCCTTACTTTCTTTGGCACATCACTTGAAATAGAAGGAAACTTGATAATGCTAAAATATCTGCCAATATATAAAACAAGTATTGTCACCAACATCTGAAAGCAAATCAAATATAAGCAACAAATATAAGCATATAAAAATATATATCATCATATCAGCATATGAAGAAATATTTTTTTTTGGGGGGGAGGAAGGTCATAAAAATGCAATTGCTTTCTTTTGAACCAACAATGAAATATAGATGCCTTCTGAAATTTAGGTAAATTTCATTCAATAATTATTTATCTGCATAGTTAAGAAAATAATAAAAGAAATAATTATTTGAATAAAAAATACTTTTTAGAGGTGTTCCAAATGAACCATACAGTTTGATTACTATTTGCAAAATTATTAATGATTATTTTTTATTATTATTTCATTGTTTAATTTCATTGTTATTTTCATTGTTTATTTTATTATTTTTTTTATTATTATTTCATTAAGCTGATCCAGTGAGAGGATGGATCATTCTACAGGCATAGTTACTTATCATTATAAATACAAAGAATAAAGCTATGTTTTAATAAGAGTGCCATATCCATATTTTCCCTTAGCTTGTTCAGTACTTGTTTCTGAAAATTTTAAAAATATTCACATAATTTTCCCCTTCCTCTATTGTACATAGATTTTCTCTCTGAGAATATTCCCTTGATTATTTTTATTCAGTATATTCAATTTGCATTTTCCTTTTTGTATTAGCATTTCATCCATTTTATTTTCCTTGTATTTAACATATTTTGTGCAGATTCTTCATTAAGATACCCATATGTGGCAGATGTTTTCACTTCCCAAACATGCAATTTCATCTGACTTTTAATGTTTTAAAATATGTGTTTTTTGTTTGTCTCCTTTCACCTTTGTTCCTCTGATGTCTCTCTTGGGAACTGCCATCTAGACTCATTCATGTCAGGTGCAACTGAGGTTTTACACCATAACCGAGTCGGACATGTCATGCTTATTGGCTCATTATACATCAGATATCATAATGTTAATATATATTCTTATTGAAATGCTGGTTTCTTTTAAAGAAATAATACTGTGATAGTCATCAGCAGTTTCTCCATGTCTACTTTTCATTTGTTATGTTCATAGTGAAATCGCTTTCTTTGGAAATTAAATTGTTTGCATAATTTCCCTTTCCCAATTTTTGGACAATAAAATTAGTTAAAAAATGAGGGAAATATACAAGGAAATATGGTAATAATTATGATGTTAAAGGTGAAACTTTATAATTCCCATGCACATTTTAAAACAAAGCATCTGAATATGATGCTATAATTTACTGCTGCTTGGTAATTTCAAATATCAAAATTTTTTTACTTTGATTTTGAATCTTGCCCTGCATAATATTCAATATAAAAACTATGCAAATATATGCAGAAGGTAGTATTTTTGCATATGAAATAAATATGTTATATATATTTGACCATTCGCAGGACAAAAAAGTAATCACTGTTTTTTTAAAAATGTTATACTTTTGTAGCCAATCAAATTTGTTATTTTTTAAATTGTCGATATGCCATAGACAGAGCGAGAACATTCTAGAACGAATTCTTGTCAGTTTTCTCAAGAATGTTCTGGAAGGCAGAACAAAAGTGATAAATACCCTACCTGTATGTGGAGTAGTAGTATCTTGAGTATGTTGAGTTCGGTAGTAGTGTCTTGAATTCCAAGAGCGATCGACCGAGTCGGGAGTTGTACTTTAGTGCTTTTCCATGAAGTTGTTGACACCATTATAGTCTCAAAGCTGTGTTGCTGATTGTTTCAACGTGTTTATCGTAGTTTTTTTACAACTGTAACGTGTCTTTGGAACTGTCCTGTTTAATACCAATGAATAAATTACATTCTGATTCTTCAGCAAGTTTTGGACACCTACGGCACCACATGGCATAACTCGTAAAAACAAATAAGTATTAAATGCCAACAGGAAACTGAAATTCTAGGTTGGAACCATTCATTCCAGCTCCAGCTGGAGGAGCAGGTCATCTGTGAAAGCTCCTATTTTATTAATTGTAATTTTACATATCAATCTAGATTATTTTATTTTGTTTTACCTTCCTTTTGACATGTGTGCTTTTTAATTCCTCATCATATTTAAAAGCGCCAATTCATGTTTTGTTTCACATTTTTATGCTTTCCTGCTTACTGCATGTTTCTAAAATTCTAGCTGTATACTAAAAATCAGTGTCTTAGATATTAACTGCAAAGTCATATTGAATGAAACACCAGCTGACTTTATCATTGAGACTAAAGAAGGCTGAGGAAAAATGGAATGGAATTTCTTCCATCATGGAAAGAAAACAAGAATCAAAATTATGAGCTCTAAAGCAGAGAACATCCTCTAAGATCTAATTAATCATTGTCAACTATGGAAAGACTATGGAAATTTGGATTACGGAGACTATGGAAAATGCTACCTCCTAATGAGATTTCTCTCACTAATGATTTTCCTACAACATATCAGTTATTGTGAAAATTAATAAAGCACTTAATGCAGCTATTAAAAAAAGAAATAAATAAAATACCTGTCCAATGCCTAAAGCATGAGTAGAAGGAAATCTGAAATGAAGTGAAAAAAATATTAGTGAACAATAAAAAAGGCATATGACACAAATCAAAACTAAATGCAGTTTTAAATTTAAAAGGGAAAAAATGGAGATTATTTTTTTATTTAATTACAATTTGGGGTACTTTCTGATTATCTGTATCTGTTTCAACATTCCATAAAACTGCAGTTTTTGGTGTACTTTTCAGCATACACACAACCTTTTTTTTTTTTTTTTTTTTTTTTTTTTTAATTTGACATTACCAAAGCATGAACACATTCATTTAACACATCTCTGTGACTGGAAGTTTATGACTACTAACATTTTTTTTTTTTTTTTCCTTATTTGACAGGTTAGAGTTGACTTAAGGGTATCCCTTGTATTATCGCAAAGTTGTTGTCTTGTTCATCACCAAGTTGTTGTTTCATTTATGGTAGCCTGAGTAGTTGAAAGTTATGGAAACCCTATTATGACGTAATCGGTTGCATTATTCCAGGAAATTTTGAATCATGGAATGTTTTGTAAGGGCTTTTATGGTGTGTGTTGGTTAGGAAGTACTTTGCTAGTTTTATTGTTTAGATGGTAGAACGGCTAAATGTAGTAAGATTAATTTGAAGTTTCTGTATGATCTGGAATGAAAGTTGAAAAGAGCATTAATTGACTGGAGTGTAAATGAAGGTTTACTTAGTAACCATTTTCTGGTCAGTCTGGAACTATGAAGGATATTTTTTACTCTTATTTTTGTGTATTTATGTTGTGACACCAATATACGGATTTGAGTTCAGATAATTTTAGGAAGTTTTTGGATGCTATTAGGGAATTTTGTGTGCCACAGACTGAAGACTATCTATATATATGGTTAAGTGGATATTTGCTTTGTGTAAAGCGTAAATGCTTTTTTTTTTTTTTTTGTTATTTTATTGTTTGGTTTAAAATGTAGTTGATTGAGATTATGTATTTTTTGTTTGCCTCTACTGTAGAATTGGGTACTCCTTTGACTTTTTAAGTGAAAATATATCGATGTGTACATGGACAAAGTGAAGGGAGTGCGCAATGCTAAGTTTGTGCAATTCTCAGATGTTTTTTTAAGTGAAAATAGGTCAGCATGTACATGGATAAAGTCAAGGGAGTGTGCAATGCAAGTCTGTACAATTCTGGGATTTTTTTTTTTAAGTGAAAATAGATCGATGTGTATATGGATACCGAGTTTGTGCAATTTTTCGTCTTGTTATTTTGGCTTTATGTAGCAGGGAATATTGGCGCAAAAATCGACGCTACACAAGCCAAAATAACAAGTCAAAGAATAGCCCAAACTTGGTATCCATGTACCGCCAAAACTCGCGAATTTTCGCCAAGGGGTACTCGTAAATATACTTTTACAACTTGACATCCCCAAAACATGAATACATTTATTTAGCACATCTCTGTGACTGGAAGTTTATGACTACTCACGATTGTGAAAATAAAGGCTCAGCAAGGACTTTTAGGCCGGGTAACACACGCATATATATATATATATTGTTTTTGTTGAATTTCTGTTCCTCGGAAATGGTACATAAAATGTTTTCTAATTATAAATTATGTATTTAGATATATATATATATATATATATAATTTAGATATATATATGTTTGGCACTGCCGATTGCAATAAAAAAAGGAAGATGCACAATTAAATGTTACAGCAGGTCTATACACAAAATTTCAACATTCTACAGCTAATCATTCTTGAGTTATGCGAGATTCATACGTACATACAGACATCATAAATAAAATCCATTTTGGAAAAAGGATTCCTTTTTTTTTTTTTTTTTTTCCGTACGTACAGATGTCATACAAAAAATCGTCAAAATGGATACTTCTGTAGAAATATACTTGAAATTTCTTGCAATTACAGCATTCCCTTTACTTTATACAAGGAAGTAAAAAGATGAATTTCCTCTAGTTTATGAAAAAGAGCAACAAAGTCTTTGATTTCATGTTGACTCAGAAGAAAGGTCACACGTTCTATAAAGTGATGAAACTCTAGAAACATTATATGAGTATGTGAAATAACACTGACATATCATATACCACATACACCATATAAACTTAAACCATTTAACAGTAAATTGGAGTCAAAGCAAAGCAATAATAATTGCATCTGTTTTTTAAAAAATTTTGTTTTTAATTTTTAACCTCATGTTCGGTGTTTTTTTTTTTTTTTTTTTTTTTTTACATGTTTATATACACTATATATACATATACAAAGAAAAAAGATCACCTACTTAAAAATTTTTAAACATCCTTTTTAAAAGGGTAAAATGGCATTTTTATAATATGTGAACATTTTCAAAACATTATAAAAAATGGAATTTCTGATGTAATTTAAAAATACAAGACACAAAAAGACCTAAAAAAGGTCAACTCAAATCAGTAAATTAAAGTTAAAGATTGAAAATAGACTTCACTTAGAAGAATGATGATGCAAAGATTGAAATTTGACAATGATTAATTAGATTTTTTAACTAGGGCATCATTTAAAAGTTAACAAAATTTCCATTAAATACTAAATAAAAAAAATATCTAAATCATATTTTGAAAATATTGCTTTAAATGCACACATATCCCTTCAAAGATGCAACATGTGAAATTTTACAGCTCTGGATCTTTCCACCTGATTTATGAGATAAACACACAAACTCTTATTATAGGCAAGATACAAACTAAATCTTAATTTTTTTAAGTCATGAACATTGGCATATCAAAAAATTCTATCTATTCCAAAGACCTGATTTACAAAATTGGTGGCCAGGGTCAAAATCTCTTATCGAGATCCTCCTTGCAGTGATATCTCATTGCCGTTTTTGCAGCATTAAAGATATATCTGATGCAAATGATACAAAACATTTGCGGGGTCATTCTCTGTTTTTTTCCGCATAAACTAAATTAGATCCTACAATGAACCTGGTGAATTCTCGCACAGACGAAGCACAGAAGAAGGGTGAAAAATAACTCTTCATTAAATTCAAATAGTCCAAAAATGGAGATTTTGTTATGGAATCAATTTCGATTCTTGAAAGGGCGTTAGCAACGACGTTTTTTGAACCTTGCACATGCCTAATATCAGTAGAGTACTGAGAAATAAAATCTAAATGGCACAATTGTCGAGGTGAACATTTATGAGGGGTTCTGTTTAAAAGCGTATATTAGCGGTTTTTGATCCGTATAAATTATAAAATTTCTGCCCTCTAACATGTGTCGGAATTTCTTAATTGCAGAATAAATTGAAAATAATTCCCTATCGTATGCGGACCATTTCTGTTGACTTTTATTGAGTTTCATAGAGAAAAACACTATAGGTTCCCATGTTTGTTGAGACAACTGCATAAGTGTGCCGCCGATTGCGACGTCTGAGGCATCTACCCAGATGCTTAGCTGGGCTCCGGGAATAGGGTGTCTCAAAAGGGTAGCCTGAGCAATGGCATTTTTGGCAGCAATAAAGGCTTGTTCAGCATTCTCGTTCCAATTTAATTGTGGGGATGAATCCTGAACACGAGAACGAGATTTCTTTTTATTAATATAGCCTTCTGACAATTTTATTAAAGGAGAAAGAATATGTGTTGCTTTAGGTATGAAACATCTATAAAAGTTAAACATGCCTAAAAATCGGCGAAGCTGAGTGAGAGTGGTAGGTTGAGGAAAATCTAAAATAAATTTGACTTTGTCAGGAAGAGGTTGAATTCCGTTTTCACTAAGGTGAAAACCTAAGAAATCAATAGACGTTTGACCAAAGGTGCATTTTGAAACATTTATGCAAAGTCCCTATTCCTGAAGTTTGGAAAATAAAGCTTTCAAATGCCTGCAATGTTCCTCAGAATCTTTAGAGGCTATGAGCAAGTCATCGACGAAAGGTAAACACCTTCTAAATCCCGCGTGACTTCATCTATAAAACGTTGAAAAGTCGCGGATGCATTGCATAAGCCGAATTGCATACGGGTACTTTCGAATAAACCGAATGGTGTGCATATGGCGGTTTTGTGGATGTCGGCTGGGTTAATTGGTATTTGATAGTATGCCTTAATCAGGTCGACATGACTAAAAATTTTAGTACCGTGCAATGCAGCAGTAAAATCGGCTAAGCATGGAATAGGATATTTGTCTTTTATTGTTTGAGCGTTCAATGCTCGATAATCTCCTACAGGTCTCCATTCCAGACTTCCCTTTTTTGGAACCATGTGAAGTGGGGATGCATAATTGCTGCTCGAAGGTCTCAAATGCCCCAATTGCATCATAGTTTGAAATTCTTGTTTTGCTATTTTTAAGCGATCTGGAGCTAACCGACGAGGTTTTGCAACCACAGGTGGACCTTTAGTTATGATATAATGAACTGTGTTGTGTTTAACAGGTTGGTTAGGATCTGGTAATCTAGTAACTGAAGGAAATTATTTTAAAATTTTGTGATATGGTGTATCACTAAATACAGTTTTTACTGAATAAATGCTTGCATTTTTCACGCACCCGACGGTTTTAAAATGCATTTTTAAATCTTTGAGACATTTGTTTCTGAGATCAGGCACCAATTCAAAGAAATGGAGAAAATCTTCTCCAAGAATGGGTGTACTAACATTTGCTATAAGAAAAGTCCATGTAAACTGTCGTCTTAATTTGAAATCCAAAGAAAGTGTTTTTTGACCATAAACATGAATAGTAGAAGAATTAGCAGCGAAAAGTGTTTGTTGGGACGAATTCCGTTTTTGAGAATTATTTGCTGGAAGTAAGGACACGTCAGAGCCGGTATCGACCAAGAATGAAAGGTTTGTTCTACGGTCACGAACGAACAGGCGACGTGAAACTTTAGGCAAAGAATAAGTCGCCTCTATTCTTTGCTGGTTTCGTTTCCCTGCCATGAACAAGGTTTTGTACATTTGTCATCTCTACATTTTTTCCCAAAATGTCTATGATACCAGTAAACAGAATAATCTCTCCTTTTGGAATTGCTTCTTTCCCTATTGCGATCTCCGCGATTTGGCGAGCTACCACGAGAAAGAGAAATGCAATCAATACGTTTGTTTAATTTTTCTATTTGTTTAAATAATTTATCCTCAAGAGACTGATCGACTGTGAGAGAAACGGCACAAGTCCCTGGGGTTGGATTTACTTCTAAAATTCTGTCGGCAATTTCTGCAGCTTTATCTACAGTTAAATTGGAAACTGCTGCCAAAATAGACTGAACAGTCGAAGGCAAACGTTGAAGGAATAATTCTAACATTAAGTTATCAGGAACATTTAAAGATTCTGCTCGACGTTTCATATTTCTAAGCAAATCGGAAGGTTTTCGAGAACCTAATTCTTCTCCAGATAATATTTGGCGAATTTCTTCTTGCTGAGAAGATTCTCCCGAACAATTATTAACTCAGTTTTAAGCTTTGCATATGGAACAATAGGGTCTGGTTTCATAAGTAAAATCCCGCACTATTGATGCAATATCTGGAGGAAGATGAGCAACTACATAATTATATTTAGTAATGGATTCTGTGATAGGTTTGGGGGTGGCAAGAGCAAAGGTACTTTCACACATAATAAAACCATAAAGATTGGTCTGATCGGTTATAAACCGGAATTTTGGACGGCATGAACATCAGACATTGTGCAAGGTTTTAAGCCAAAATAAAAGCAAAAATGTAACTAAAGAAAATGAAATTAAATGATAAGTAGAAAACAGAATTATAAAATGATCTATAATTACTACTCATCTGTGATTCGGAGGATGAAAACCGATGTAATCCATTACTTCTGGTTTAGAGATCTGAGTGATGGCTTGTAGTCAAAACCGAAAGTGCTTGAGAACTGTTCATACGATTTAACACAGTCCGGGTTACCATTATGGTGATTTCCTATATGTTTTTACCACCAATCCTCGAATTCCATATCACAGATTATGTTCTTACTGCATTAATATAAATATTAACAAGACATAGTGCACAACATTAATTAAGCTTTATTTCGGAACATCGCGCACATTCCCCAACAGCCTGCCTGTTTCGCTCTGCTCGCTACTTGTAAAAAACTTCTCCTCTAGGGTTGCCACACTTATCGGAGGGTGCAAGGCGCGCTCCTTATCGCCATCACCACAATATACATTTTCCTCTCTTATTTTCTTTGTTTTTATTTTTATCACCTTGCACATTGCTATGATAATAGCAGATTATATAAGATATAACGACAAATTTTATAAAAGTTACAACCATTTCACTGAATTTCACATAAAGTCAACGAAAATATAATAGTTTTCCCAAAAGTTTGGTAAAATCCTAGTATACGGTGCAGCCTTGGCGCGATTTTGAAAATTATTGCCAACACCAAAAATGATCCAAAGAACGTCTATATACTATACACTATATACTATGTGTGTATATACATAATATATACTGTATATAACTATATATATTCTTTGAATGACCCGTTTAGTGCTCATCGTATATGTCCCGTTTTTATTGCTCATCATATAAAGTCGCCAAATCCCGTGTGCACCGGATACTAGGATTAAACCAAAAGTTTTAGTAATATACATCGCAGAAAAAATAATTTTGCACAAATGGGCACAGTATCAACATGCAGTATTTTGCAATAAAACCCCAGAGTGTTACTGAATCTTATCACAAAAAATAACAATTCTGTAAACTTGAATTTCAGCTTTAACTCTTAAAAGCGAAATACAAATACAAACAAAACATATCAGAAAAAAACAGGAGTTCTAAAGAGATATTATAATTACTTGTAATTCGTCAAAACTATCTTATTTACAACGATAATTAAAAATGATGATATTCCATAAAATAACGCAGAAACGACACGCCAAAAGAAAGGATTCACATTTTCGGCAGTAACTCTGTTAATATCAGCAGCAGGCAATGAAATCATGACATGTGCATTTTTACTTGAGGTACTTAAACAGTCTGAAGATTTAAATAAATGGTCTTTCATTACAGTTTTAAAAAAATTCACAGCAGTTGAAAAATTTAATTTAATTTACGCTTTTAATGTCAAAAACCCTACTTTACATAGAGTGAATAGAACATAAACATAAAGGTAAACAAACTCGCTACGAAAGGTACGGAATCACAGTTAAACTAAATCGTATGCGAATATGTAGGCTCAGCTACAGTGCACATAATTTTTTTAAATCTTAAATGAAAAATATATTTATAAAAACAACAATAAATCATATATTAAAATTCAGGTGAAAAAATTATTTTAAAATATTTCTAATATTAAATTACTACTAAGAAAATAAATCTTTTTCTTCCCTTTTTTATTACAAATATTAAAAAAAGAAAAAAATAACTTTATTTTGCATGCAGTTTATCATGCAAAAAAATTCTAAAAACCATTCCAAGATTTAAATTTTTTTATATCTCAGACAAAAAAATATTTTATTTGAAATCAGATTTATTTAGCTCCAATATATAGAATACATTCCATTACCGAAGTGTAAGAATTATTTTATTTTTCATAGCATTCAGAATTAAATTATTTAAATAAACGATCTTACATTTAATCACTGCATGAAGACTGAAAAAAAAAACCTGTTTCTATATGACTTGCTTTGCTACTTTGTTAAATTCGATACTTTGATGAAAAAAATTTATCTAACTCTAATGTTTTAGGTGATGTAGTTTATTAAGTAAATTTTTGTGTATATAACGTTTTAGAATGATGGTAAGTTTCGCGACATATTTTTCAGTAGATTCTTAAAAGTGAAGTACAAAAAAAAAAAAAAATACTTGCTTTTCTATCTTGCTTTTCAGGAGGCGAGTGCTAGTTCGAGGTTAAAGTAGTATTCGTGGAAAGATATAATGTCGGACCGAGAAAGTGGGGATGAACAGCATCCTGCCCAAAGTATGTTTACAAATTGTTTTATTCTTTATTTGGTAGCATATACTTTACATAAATTTAATTGAATACTGTTACTGTCATTTTATTGGAAAAAGAGTTCTACCGGGTATCATTTTAAAATTTTGTTTCATTTGGCGGGTTCATTTTAAGCAAACATGGCGAGGAAGGCAATAGTCATGTTCATAGTATAATATTAAGATTGATGAATTTTTGTGTTTGTTTCAGCTGTTTTTTTGCATCTCTCTTTCGGCATCTATTGTTTCGTCGTATATTTTAAATTTTTAAGCCCATGTTTTTTTTTCTATGGCTTCTTTTCCTGCAGTATGTTGGTTTCCGATGCGTGTTCTGAAACATGTTCTATGATGGAATTGCACATATTTTAGCTCAATAGCCGGCGAAAACCTTTTATACAGCCTAAATAGGGGCTATGTAAACATGTTTTAAAAGTGCTATGTGAAGGTATAGCTTGCTGTACTTCACTAAGTAATGTGAAATATCTAAAGTTATGCCCGTTTCTTTTTTGAATAGGGCTATGTGTAAAGCCGATAATGTTTATTTGGTAAAATAAAACTTCCTGTGTATCCGATGAAACTATTGAGCTCTGCGTTTGAACTGATGTATATAATGTTAACAATCAAAGAAGAAAAAATTGCTTTTAGTTCTATCTCCTTAGGCAAATTATGGTTAACTTTTTCGGTAATATTGGCTGTTCTTAGTAGTTTCTAAATTCTGTTCCAATTTTAAGAATATGAGTAGGTCATCTAAGAGTTCTGGATATTCATCTCAATTTCTGTGCTTTATTGATGAATTCTAGAAAATTTTGATGCATCCTGCTATTTTAGTGACATTAATTTTTAACCAACACTGTTACCAGCATGATTGTACAGTTAGTAATGTGCAGTATGTGAAGAAATATTTTGCTGTTTCCTTAAAACATAAAAATTTTAAGATATTGTGAAATGCATTCTGAAAACAATATGCCATTGTGTAATAATTTTAGATAAATCTTATGGGTAATTATTACTTTTCCTAATGTTTTAGAATGCTTAATCTCTAATAAAATTATCTGTTACTCGTGATATGCAAGTTAATGGTCACTTACCCTAAAACCGTATATCTCAAGTGTGAGGCAGGTTCAATAAATTTATGTAACTTTTAAAAATTAAGTTCACTGTGTCCATCAAAGGTGCTGGTCGTCAGTGACTTGCGAGTTGAGAGTCACTTGGGGTTAACAAATCAATTGCCTGTGTCAAGCAATGCATTAAATTTAAGTAGGTACTGAAAGTTAAAGCATCTGGTATCCTTTAAATGAGGGGGAAATCATATAACTGGTAGTTTGGCGACATTTTGGAGGCGATAAAGGTTACTGCCTGGGACTTTGATAATAATGTGAGCAGTACTCAGTTCCGATTACGCATTATTTTGTGTGAGGGAAATGAGAGATCATGTGATATTAATGGACGAATTACGGTTCTTTAATCGGAAAAGGGGGGAAATCGGGAAAAAATCTGGAAATTTTGTATTTGGCTTTATTCTGTGTTGTGTGAAACAGTGTTCGTGAATTTTTGGATCCCATGGCCGTAACTAAAGTGAATTCGAAATGGGTATTTATGTATGTATTAATTTAATGTATGTGCTCATTTATATATTTTAAGTAGTGTTTTTGAATTTAATTATATTTTAATTAAATGATAGTTATTTTGTGAATTTTATGTTTGTAGGAATTTGGTATACGTTTTAGTTGAAGTAAACGTGCATGGAAATAATTTTAAATATTTGATACTAAGTATTGTAATGCTTGCGGTATGAATTCGTTGGTGACGTGTATAAGGTAATAGATGATTTAGAGGTAAAAGTTTTGGATATTTTATTTATTTTATATGTGGAAATGTTCATATTTGGAAAGGGTAAATACTTTTTCGCGATCAGGTAATTTCATATATGTTCTTTTTACCGGGGTTTAAAGATTGAGAAAATTGTCGTGTATTTTCGTGAAATTTTTCTAATTTATGAGAAAAAAAAGCAGTGTACATGGATATAGTGAAGAGTGTGCGCAATGCCATTTTTGTGCAATTCTGGGATGTTTTTTTAAGTAAAATAAGTCGGCGTGTACATGGTTTATGTATATGTGTTATTTGAAAAACGCGTTAAGGAGTATGGTATTGTGCACTTTTTCTCAATTTTGCAGTGAATATTTGTCATGATTAAGCAGTTTTGTTAGATAAAATTTCTAGCATAAGTGTAATTCGGCTAGTAGATTGTTGGAAGAAGTGTTCAGTAGATAAAAAGAAAAGAAACATGTCTTTACTTCATGAAGACAAAATGGCGGCAGGAAAAAAAAAATAGAGGGTTGCTGTAGGAGAGTTGGTCGCCAAATTCGCCAAAAAAACGCCAAGTTACCATAATGTAAAGATCAACCCTTTCGGCTTCAAAATCTAAATTTAAGCAAGAGCATTTCCCGCATTTTTGGTTGCAGATTCATGCAGAATACCCAGAAGTTTTTCTCAGAGCTATAAACATTTTTATGCCATTTAGAACAGCGTATTTATGTGAAAAATCTTTCTTAATTCACCTAATAACAGAAATAGTTAAATGGCAGAATTAGAAGTACCACTGTAGATAACATTGATAGAGCTAGACGAACAATTTGTGTAAAAAAAAGTTGCAAACACACCGCTGTCACTAAATATAATGCAAGGATAGGTGACACTTGGAGCATGAGTTTGTGATATTAATGAATAAATTACCCTAATTTTTTGTAAAAAATCTTTAATACAGTGTAAAGTCTGAAATCCGGACTGGTTGGGACTTCGGCGATTCCGGATTTGGGATTTTTAAGGATAATAGATTAGCATTTTAAATCTGGTAAGATGGCATGCAGAAACTATACAATTAAAAATATGAAATCTTAATTTCATATTTTCATATAATATCAAATTCCAAAAATTTCATCTTCCCTAAATTCTGTCGTCTGGTGCCGACATATTCTGCCACCAGTTCTGAGTTTATGGTGAATAACATATCAGTTATTCTTAATTTACGAAATAAGGAACAATTATGTATCAAAATTTGCAAAAAAAAAGCTTAATATTTATTTGTTTACTTTATTAACCATTTTTTTCAATATAAGTTGTGTAAGATGCTTCCACAAAAAATTCAAAAAGTTCTTTTTTCTTGTGTCATATACAGTGGACTTGCCATACTCCTCGCATAATTTTGAGACAGATATGCCTTTATCCATTTTTTGCAGCAATTCCACTTTTTGTTTAATGGACATCGAAACATGGTTTCGCTTTGTAAATCCTAATAAGTCTGCAAAAAGTAATAAGCTGGATCAAATTAGAAGATCAGAGAGCAGCGCAGTCTGCTACATTAATTCAGATGCCTTAGAATCAGTAAAGATGATTTTAGCCTAGCTTAATAGCATCTGTTGTACATTATTGGCTTGGCGACAAAAACCAGGTTGTTTCGCTAAATTTTGTCTTGTTCTTATTGCAGACTGAATTAAGCCTGAATTGTATTAGTTTAGTTATTTACTATACCTATGTTTATTTGTTGCACATACTTCAAACTACTCAGAGTCTTAAATAAAGAAACTCCCATATATACTTAGGCTTTATCTAGGGCCGACACTCGATAACGCCTGGTGCAGTCTCTACGGTCCTAAATTCTGCTACAAAGCTCTTTCCTGAGTTCTAAACTTTGAATCCCAGTGCTTTTCCTAAATTATAAAAACTTATCATCCCTTAATTTTGCCGCTCAGTGCTTCCCCAAATTCCAAAAATTTCATCTTCCCTAAATTCTGTCGTCCGGTGCCGACATATTCTGCCACCACTTCCGAGTTTATGGTGAATAACATATCAGTTATTCTTAATTAAAATAGCACTAAATGTAATCTTTTGACCTATGAGTTTCATTAATAAAATCTATTTTTAGCACATGAAAAGAAATTTTTGTTGAATTTTTCCTTGTCAACATTTCTTAGAGCAATTTAAAAATCTGTAATCATTGCAAGTGTAATGTTAGCATAAAAGGTTGCCATACTCTCGTTATTCAATTACTAATATAAAAAAAGTATAGACATCGCAGCATGAGTTATTAGTGAAGCTGTCATGTATTGATAAACATCATGGACCTTATAAGAAATAGACTAACCCAAATGGGTTTTCTTCCTCGTCTGAGGCGTTCCCGGCTGTCACCTTGGTCACATTCGAAGGAGTAGGGACGACTTGCAGAAATTTAACAGTGGTTGCCTATTGCAGCGTGTATAATTATCAAGAAAAAGCTGGTTGTAGGGCCTCATTTCACAAATTAGAATTTCTCCATATTTTTATTTTTGAAATTGAGATTGATTTTTAAAAATTTAGAATATTCATCAAGCATAATTAACGTTCCAAATAATTATAAAGCTATTGCATGCTTTCAGGGCTGGATATTTTTTTAGCCTTTTCCTATGCTGTAAGGAAATTTGTAACTACAGTCAAAAGTCGTTAATTCGGACACCCATAATCCGGAATGATCTATAATCCGGACCTCAAAGCTAAAAATTTTCTGTGCATGCGCCGTGTTGACACGTGCACATAGGCGTTTACGTGTGCGCGTAAGACCTTTTACCACTGCGCATATGCGTGTGCGCAAGTGCAGAATACATTTTCGCGTGCGCGTTTTATGTATAATCTAAAATTATCTATTTCAGTTAATGTTGATGATTGCGTTGTTCCTTAATCTTCGAATTGGATCCGGCATATTATTTTTTGCAGACTGTAAGAGCAATTTTATAAAAGTAAACTTGAACTTTCGATTATGTCAAATAGAATTTCCGATTCTGGAGCTCCCAAAGGATCGTACAAAACGAAAGTTATGTTTCGATGTCCATCAAACAAAAAGTGGAATTGCTGCAAAAAATGGATAAAGGACATGAAGAATGTGACAGAGAGGTTAGTGAAAACGAAAAAATTTCGATTGACAAGTTAGTCGGTATTCTCGGCACAGCAATTAACGGG